ATATATATATATAAAATAAAGACTTTTTATTATTATAAAAATGGGAATTGGGGCAAATGTGCTTAAACACAAAAATAGGCCTTTTTTATTTCATGTACAACAAAATATAATTTCTTGCTAAGTTTTGGTATGAAATATGACCCAGACATGTTCTTGCCAGGTTTAGTGAGTTTTGTGTATGTCTGTCCCTTACAGCCATGTTTTTCATTTCCCTAAATAATATGTCTGCATCCAATCCTACGGTCTGTCTGATAAAAGTGTGTCAATGTCCTGTATGGCTTTGGAGGTTTTCTGCAGCACCTCAGAGATGCAGATCTCTGTGAGTTTGATCTCAGGTCGGTCACAGCTCAAAGATCTTCCTGTAGGACGCAGGACGGGGCTGTTCTCCAACAAAACTGGTGGATTGTGTTAAAGAAATATCTACCCAAAATATCTACTGTTCAGCTTCCACACCAACAGAGTCACATAATCTCACAAAAAAAAGGATACAGTTAAACCTCTTGATCTTTTCCAGTTCAGAAACAACAGATCTGTGTAGGAAATCAGAAATGTTGTGTTCTACCATAAATAATCAAGTTTTCTGTGTAAAACTTTGTATACCAACAAACAAGATTGTTGTTGCCAACCTCCATCCATTTCACTATATAGAAAAGCAAAACCTGGACATTAATCTTTGCATTCCATGGAAAAACATACTTGTTTTGAATGACATTTCCAGGTGAACTATCCCTTGAGTGACTGATATGCATCTTCCAGGTCAAGTGATGCAAATGACTATAATAATAATACAAAATAATGATGCAGGGAATAAGAGTTCCTAAATACCTGCATGTTATTGGCTGACGTGTGTCAGAATGGGCGGAGTCTGAGAGAGCCACACCCACTGCACTCATGCTCTGATCTGTCTGTTTTACCCAGTCACACCAAGGCACTACTGCAGACACACACCTGAGAGAAAAACAAGGAGTTAAGGATTTTCATAAGCAGTTGGTGTATTGAATATTACATCATCTCTTTACCTTTGATAAGTTTGGTCTGTCTCAACTTGGAGAAGAGTTTGGTGCCTATCTGGCAAACTGAGCTGGCACCACCTGTGAGACGGTCTGGTTTCTGTCTTGAGTCAAGGTTGATGTTCAGTTGGGAGGTGGTGGAAGATATTCCTGCCCCTTTATAAACAGACAGGATACTCAGTGTTTTAGGAATAGTTTGACATCAGCTATCCTGTCTGCTGGTGTTTGATTTTGGTTTTGATGTGACCTGTATGCTTGTAAACCTCTCATCTCACCTGCTGGCCCGTGTGACGACAGATTGGACAGAATACAGCTGACCCGGTATGTCAGGTGGGAGACCACACAGGTAATACACACACTCCACAGCCTGAGAACACACCAAAATCAACTGTGAAATCTTCTGAATCACACAGCAAATGTATACACTCTACCTTTAATTCACTGAATGTCAAAGTGAACACTACAGAGAGTTGTCTTGCATCTCTGTGAGCAGCTCCAGCTTTGTAATGTGTGAAGTAATTGGCTAGAACTCCATTAGATCTGATGACTGAACCATCACCAGGTGAGATCTCTACCATCGGTTTCACTCCATCTACTATACTGAAAGAGATTAAATGAAAACATCATCAGTGTTAAGTCCCAAATAGACTTGATTTGTTTGATACTCAGTCCTTAAAGGGACAGCTCACCCAAAAATTTAAAAATCCTGTTTTCATTTATACCCTCATGTTTTTATAAATTTGAATGAGTTTTCCTTTTTCTGCTGAAGACAAAAGAAGATATTTTAAAGAATTTTGGCAACCAAACAGTTGCCGGTAGCAACTGACTTCCACAGTATGGGAAAAAAAATACTATGGAAGTCAATGGTTCCAAATTAATGATCCATTCTTTTTGGGGGGTTTTGACTGGATAATGTACTTAATGTGCTAAATGTTGTTTTAACCACCTATCATTGTCTTCAAAAAACTGCGACTCGACCGGCAGATAAAGTCCACTGTAAACTCTTCTCCAGAAGAGGAAAGGACGAGTTTGGCATGTCCATCTACAGAGCAGACTGTGATCTCTCCATGCGGCCCAGCGGTGCAGGAGTCAGACCCAGGCCACTCCACCTCAGTTATGGCACTGGTGAATGGCTGCAAATCAGCATTTGGTTAAGCAAATAAGCATAAATGAGAAATTAAGCAGGCTGACATGATTTCAGAAATAAAAGCAAACCTTACTACAGCTTTATGACAGTCTAACCTTGTTGAATTCCACAGCTATGAGCTCCTCGGGCAAATATGGATGAGTTGCATACTTGTTTCTGAAGGCCAAAGCATTCAATACCAGTGTCTAAACGAGAGAAAACAAATAAATTATGTATCTTTTATACTATGCACCCATATTTACTGCAGTAAACTGCTTTAGTCAGACAGACAGATATATGGTTAGCTACTCGGGTGTGCAGAGGGTGACATGTGTTTCTCTATCATGAACTCAGATCCGCAGGGTGAGAGCTGCAGTCTGCGCCCGTCTGAGTAAAACACATCCACAGACATGACCATAAACCTGAGCGAACACATGACTCACTAACACGAGACAGACAGCACTGCGGTGACAACTCAAACCAATTACATAGTCCTTTGACTGCGAATGTCTAAACTACGATCACTGAAGCAACACAAACAAATTCCACAGTCTAATTGTTGTTGTTGATAGAGTCGACTGATTCGTGAATGGATCGTTCTTGCGAGTCGGGTCTTTTGAATGAATCGTTCTTGCGAGTCGGATCTTTTGAATGAATCGATTGAACTTGTTGACAACACCCGGAGGGACGAAAAATAGCAACGAGACAATACGATTTGATTGTTGGTTTTAGTAAAAAGCATTACATCATAACGTGGGGAAAAATACTCCTTGAAAACTGAATTTTATGTAGTTTGTAATGATTTTATAAGCTGAATCAAACTGAACTCGGACACAAAATTATCACGAACGTCTTTATTAATTAAACTTACTCGGGAAAATAAAACATAATAAACAATACGTGTATCTAGATAAACACTTTGGGATGTCAGTACCCAGCTGATCCGTATCTTTGAAAGGACTGTTCAAAAGAACCGATTTGCAAAAATGACTCGGACTTCCCGTCTCTAGTTGCCATGGTGCAAATTTTCGCGGTTGATGAAGAGAATGGCGCTGATTGGATGAATCACTTCTTCTACAGTGCGCTCTCTCATCGCCCCCGTGCTGCAGAGATTCAGCTCTGGCAAAGAGGAAGTTCTTTGGCTCTGGCAAGCCGAGGTAACATGGATCAAGATTGGATTCAGATGGTTTTTGAGTTCATCTTACGAAGAAATATACTTAATTTCTTCTTTTATTTCACATGTAATTAATTTAAATGATGCCGGTATTAGCACACACAAACATACATAAGTATAAATAACATGAAGCCGATATTAACATCGTTAATATTTTTGCATTTACATTATTTTCAGATTTTTATTATTATTTATTTTTTTACTTTATGCTAAATATGATTTGCTTTGTCTTTCTTTTTTATTATTATTTTGGAGTAAATTATGACCAGGATGTTCAACCCTTTATTAAGCTTGTTGCATATAAACACGTTTTTTCGTTAATATTTTTGCATTTACATTATTTTCAGAATTTTTATTTTTTTTTACTTTATGCTAAATATGATTTGCTTTGTCTTTCTTTTTTATTATTATTTTGGAGTAAATTATGACCGGGATGTTCAACCCTTTATTAAGCTTGTTGCATATAAACACGTTTACTGAATATCAGTTTTATTAGAAAGGTATTGAAGTGTCTATATGTCGTTAATATTTTTGCATTTACATTATTTTCAGATTTTTATTATTATTTTTTACTTTATGCTAAATATGATTTGCTTTGTCTTTCTTTTTTATTATTATTTTAGAGTAAATTATGACCAGGATGTTCAACCCTTTATTAAGCTTGTTGCATATAAACACGTTTACTGAATATCAGTTTTATTAGAAAGGTATTGAAGTGTCTATATGATATCACTGGTAAATTTAAAGTTTTTTTTAAACTTCCTAAATTCCAACTTGTCTATTTTCTTGTTTTTGTCAGTTTTACAAAAGCCATAGAATTAAGGTCATAGTTAATTTGATATTACACTGACCTAAAACAGGCGTTAGTTCACTGGTCAACTGGGGATTCTATGCTTGAAAAGGTCAACAGATTGCAGAACAAGTTGGACAGCATCTCAATCTAATGATTCATTACATGGAAAAAAAAATTTTAAGTTCAGGACTAACAAACCGCTCAGGTCACTTGGATTCCTATGAAATGCAAAGAGACCGTGTTTTTATAAAGATTTATTGCAGGCAAACAATGCAGTAAATAATATTTACAACTGTAGTAAAATAAACATTCCTTTATATGGGATCCGTGAAATGTTGGTGATGAGAAAAGTTCTGTAAATCACAGTGGCGGATGAATCTGTATAAACTCCCAAAACCTGTTCTCAGCTTTTCCTCCAAACTCATACACTTTACATACGTGGAAACTTTATTCCTGCATTCCAAAAACCAAACGGACTATAAAGTCAGGGTTCCTTTTTCTTCAAACATGTGCATAAATTGAAAATCTAAAAAGGTTTGAGGAGAATCTGATAAAGGAAGAACAGAAAAAATGGTATTTTCTTAAAACGTTTTTGTCTTTCTCCCTGTGCTCTTCGACTCTACATGGCAAAGCCTTGAAGAGTAAAATGCAAAACCCAGTTTCTCCTACATTTAGTTGGATATTGAGCAGTTAGTTCGCAAACAAGCCACACTTAAACTTGATGATGCTACTCTTCGGCTCATATTAAAATCTCACTGCAAACTTTTTTGGTGGATTTCTGACAAATCAGAACACGCATAAAATAAACCTCACAACCCAAATGCCAAACCAAAGGCAACTTGATGGCCTGACAGACTTGCCAATTATGCTGCATTACAACTAAACAGTAATCCCAGCCATTAAATCCAGTGACATTATAGCCAAGAAGTGCTTGTTGAGAAATCAAACGAAAATCAACCGAAACGTTCTTGGTTTTGCCGCTCTGAAACATTCCAGCTGGTCGGGTGTGGTGTCAACCTGACCATCTCACAGTCTCTCATTTCTTTCTTCTTGCGTCCGACTCCATGCAAAACCTCTCAAACGCCTCCTCGATCTCCGGATCCATTTCATCTTCATCACCGCAGAAGCTGCAACATAGAAGCATTCCTTCATTATAAATGTATGGAAGCTTGTTTCCCACCACAGGATGAAAAAAATAATTGCGACTTTCTATCTCACAATTCTGACTTTTGCTTCCTCACCGTTCTAAGTTTCTATCTCACAATTCTGACTTTTTTTCTCCTTGCAATTCTGAGTATATATATATATATATATATCTCACAATTTTGAATTTGAAGTCAAAACTGTGAAAGAGCAACTCAACGTTGAGATATAAACTTAAAATTCGGAGAAAAAGTCAGAATTGTGAGATGTAAACCCTCATTTGCAAGAATAAAGTCAGCATTGTGATATAAAGTCACAATTACTTTTTTTTTTAAAGCTGTGGCGGGGGCAAAAAACAGAATTGTGAGATATGAACTCAGAATTGCAAGACAAGAGTTAAAAAAAATTGGTTTATGTCAAGAAAAAAGTCTGAATTGTGACAAAGTCATATTCAAAAATAAAATAAAATAAATAAATTTGCATTTAAAAAAAACAGTTGCAAATTAAAAAAGGTAAGTGTGACTTTTTGCGTCACAATTCAGACTTTTTTCTGTCATATTATATTGAATACAGAAAGTACTTTTATTCAGAAAGGATGCATTAAACTAATTATAGCTGCTGACATTTCAGCTTTTCTTACTTTAAAATGACAATAATTCCCAATATTACAGTTTTTACTGTATTTTTAATCAAATGCAGCCATGGTGAGCATAAGAGAGTCCTTTTAAAATATGAAAAATCTATACAAGCAAAAGCTTATATTTACATGAACTTTTCCTTGAATCTGTGCATTTGTCTAAATCATCAACATTATGAATAAAATATAAATAAACTATGAATTTCTGATTATGTTAAGACTCGTCCACGCCCTCCTAAAACGCCTCGTTTAAACACGCCCCCACATGTCTATGTCACTGTGTGGGAAGATTTGCATAACACCGCCCAAATGTTCACGCAAAGAAAGAAGGCGTAACTTTTATTCTCGCTGTAGTATTGTTGCCGCCGCAATGTCGTGGAGATGCTGTTTCATTGCGAAAGCGAAAATACTTTGTTTGGTCTTCCAAAAGAGGACACAACTAGAAATCAGTGGTTAAGTTGTATTTACAACACTGTTCCAGAACAGTTCAACCCAAATATTCAGATGTGTGCAGCGCATTTTATGGA